GCCTTCAGCCAGGTTCAGCCTTTTTTAATATTATTATCTTTTCTTAGAGCAACAATCTGAACTCGTCAGTTGCTAAATTTATAAAAAAAAGGCATGTGTTTAGTTTGTATAATGTATTGTATTTTTCAATAAATCACCCGGCGGGGGCTGTTCCCAGTTGTTCTATATTTTATTTATTCATGGAGTTAGGCCGTATACAGAAAGAAAGCCGAAAGCCGATCAGCGCCGATAAGCGCCGACACGCGCTGGTCAGCTGGTCATTATGATCTATGTTGTCCGAATAATAAATAATTTGTATTTGAATTATTATCCTTAGATTAAATCAATCGTAAGTTATAATCTTTTTATAAATCTAATAACTTTATCTTTTATTAACTAAGCGCTAAAATTATTTGTTTCGTACTTACCGAATGGTGACAACAAGTCTTTCTTCTGGAAGGATTGATTGTTTATGCCAATTACACCAATTTTTCATCAAACGGTTTTTCACTAAATCCAAAATGTAATAAAATGTTTCTTGAGTCATTCTTGTATATGTATAAAATCTTTGATCATCAAATTTCATTTTTTTTTTACAAATAAATAATGGTATTCTCCGAAACGTTTCCTTTCTCTATATAAAGGACGAATAGCTTTTTTCGCATTTTTAAATACACATTTTCTAACAAAACCAAATCATCTTCCGATGAGTCCGACATTTTGCTTGCTCTGCTTTAATCGGCTTCCTTTATGTAGTAAGGATTTCTGTATACGGCCTTACACTGAATTTTCGAGTTGTTTGGGAACCGGCTGTCCCGCGGTGTTTTGTTTTATGGCGGACTTCCTTGTTGTTTGTATCCGAAGTGCCTTGCGCTCGTGTTCATAGTGATAAGACACCTTGTTACCATGTTGTTGATTTAATAAAGTAACAGATGATTCTGTTTAGTATTTTTATAATAAATTGTGTTTTATTTATTTGATCCTAAAAAAATCAAATTTCTTAATTGTGTATTTTTAATATGAGCAGCTGGCGAACAAAACGGTATAATGACATAAAATAAAATTTACAGGAGATATATAAAATTGAATAACATACCTACAGTGAGCTTTTGGCATAGTTTTTAATTTGTAAATTTAGTAAATTTAACACCGTTTTAGGCGGTTTTGATTGAAAATTATTTGAGATTCAAATTTAACGGGCGCGAAACCACCGGACTGTTAAAATAAAATGATGTGGTGTCGTGGGACACCAGGTAGGAACGAAGTTCCTTCGGCTAATGTAGAATCGACACAAATTGCAAACTCGCTTGTGTATACGACTGTCGCGCCTGCGCACGTCTCATTTAACGGTTTTATTCCACAGATTTTTTCTTACGGTTTTACTATATCACATATATATAGTATCACATTTTTTTCAGTTCGGTCGCGCAGCAAAATCCCTATCCCTCCAAGCCTGCCGTAAGGAACTTCATTCCAAAAGTAGTTTGACCAAATGCGTAGTTATACCGTTTTGTTTGCCAGCTCCTCATATATCAAGCTGCAGGTACAGTTTGTACACCTTTAATGAGAATTAGTTAGAGCGCAGGAGAAAAAGATCAGAGAGAGATAACTTCCGAGATATATATTGTAAACAAAGTCACAGTTCAGTGGGCCATTCGCCTAACTAAAATGCTTTGGAAAATGCTAACGCTTACGATTTCATTTTGTTATTTTCTAGCCGCCTGAGGTTTTCAAATGCCTCGCGCTCTTTTTTTTCTTTTGCATTGGTAATAACAATAATAAAAAAAATGAGCGTGAGGTATTTGAAAACCTTCGGCGGTCAAAAATAACAAAATAAAATCGAAAGCGTTGGCGTTTTCCAAAGCATTTCCGTTAGGCGATTGGCCCCCTGGTGTAGGCTATTCTTGTCTCTAATGTGTGTTAATTAGTTCGCGTTTCTAATTGCACTGTCTTTAAATAAAGAAATAATAATTGAAGTGAAACTTCTTTATCGGCGTTGGAAAAAAATTTACCGTCACATTTTTATTCGGTTACGCGTCACGTTTTTTGGTTACGCGCCATCTTTTTTTTAAAAGGGCACTATTTACCTCATCCGAACAATTGCTTCTTCTGTCAACTTTAAAAAAAAAAAAGTATCGACAGCAAATATTCGTGTTTCACACAAGGTAAGGTAAGGTAAGGTGTAGTTATACCCCTTTAGTGGGTGAGTTTTTGCAAAATCTTAGCGCACGCCTATATATATATTTCTGGAAAGTTGCATGTAGATCATTTTTCGAAAAAAATAAGGCCATAAAGAAGTTTCACTTCTTACGTGTGTACACTAGTACACGCACACATTTTTTTTTATAATTACGATAATATGACACTCTAGGTAAACGCGGGTCATTGACGCGGCCTGAGTGACGTTCGCGGTGTTAGCAAATTGTTATGTACAAGTAAACTGTACACAACCAGTTGAAGCACAATTCAGTTGGAGAAAATTGCAATTTTTGGATAACTCTACTTACTGATAAGGCTGATTTTACACATCGGTAAGTACAGTAGCGAGTTTAGAAATCGGAGAGTTAAGCAGTGTGTGCTGAACTAGCAAATCCCTATCCAAACGATGATAAGAGTTTAATAGATATAATATTTTTAAACTTTTAGTTACGATATTTGGTAAATACTAAAAATCCAAGTTCTTAAATAACCTTGCCAAGACCGTTAGTTAACTGGCTACTGTACTCACCGAAGTGTAAATCAGCCTTTAAGCAAAGCCAGCGATGCGCGACTACGAATGATTTTACCTTTCGACTAATTCGTAACTTCTAATTTAGCTCTAAAGAAAAGTTTACTAGAAAAAAAAATAAAAAAAAATCCCGTCCGTTGCCTGTTTAAGTTTAATTTTTTTTCTAGTTAAGGTCTTTTCTTTAGATTTAAACATCTAGCAGTTAAATGCTTAAAAAATAAATAAAATCGTAAATATAATTACTATTTCTTCTTTCAAATGTTTAATACTTGAAAAAGTATTCATTTGATATTGTGGGTTACCTACAATGCGAAGAGATGGCGCTGCCTTGCAGCTTAAGGCTAGGAAAATTTCAACGCGGCTAATAGGGCCGTGGTAGCATAATGGTCAGTGCATTCGCCCGGATAGCGAAGGATGCGGGTTCGAGTCCCGTCCGCTGCCTGTTCCGCGTGGATTTTTTTTCTAGTAAACTTTTCTTTAGATTTAAACATCTAGCAGTTAATTGCTTAAAAAATAAATAAAATCATAATTTTAGTTACGATATTTGGTAAATACTAAAAATCGTGCCTAAAAATCCAAGTTCTTAAATAACCTTGCCAAGACCGTTAGTTAACTGGCTACTGTACTCACCGAAGTGTAAATCAGTCTTTAAGCAAAGCCAGCGATGCGCGACTACGAATGATTTTACCTTTCGACTAATTCGTAACTACTAATTTAGCTATTCGAAAGGCAAATTAGTAGTGTACTAATGTCATTATTCGAATAACGACTACTAATTAGTAATACTAATGTCAAATGTCGCTACGTGCGATGCGCGCCTCCCGATACCTTCGACTCCAGTCGAATGATAGAAAGCGCAGTCGACTTAGTCGAATGATAGAAAACGCAGTCGACTTAGTCGAATGATAGAAAGCGCAGTCGACTTAGTCGAATGATTAGTATTAGTATTATTCGAAGTCGCGCATCGCTAAGCAAAGCTGAATGATAAAAAGGAAGTTATTAAAGAATGAAAACCATAATTAAGTTCATTATTAATTTTATTTAAAAAATATAAAGCAGTCTTTACACAATTTCCTTTAAAACTACACATCAGTTGTCAAACAGTCACAAAGACAGACTAGAGGTTTGAAAATCAAACAATTTGAACACGATTGTTTACACCGGTGTTCACACATGAATTGTATCCATTACCAGCGTCTGCATTACACCGAGAATTTGGAAAACAAGTAGAAAGGCCGTAGCAGACTGATATGTCTGCTACGGCCTTTCTACTTGTTTTCCTGTCGGTGATGTCGGCTCGGAATCGTAACGTATTCGCCTCGGCTCGAGGCAAACTCGTGTCGCGAGATGTTTGACTTCGATTAGTGCTCTTTACAGTATGGATTTTCATACAAAGAATCCTAATTCCTACCTATCCTCTTTAAGTGAGTATATAAATCGGTTGTACATACTGTACTATGCTCATCATGTCTGAGTCTGTCCCATCTTCAATGAATCCAGCATTCTTAAAAATTACCTGCATTTTTAAATTTCTACAACATTCCTTGTCACTTAATCTATGTTCACATAAGAGGTTGTCTTCCTATATACACCTATCCATTTCCTAACCAGAATTTAAGGTAACAGATTGACATCTGCACAATGGGTCTGTCCCACCGATTTTAGTATGCCAGAGTTTAAACTAATTACTACCATTGCTTAGTGAAACTTTGTAAGAGGCTATTATACAATACATAAATGATTAATTTAGATAGGTGTGGCATACAAGCCAATACTAGTATGAATTAATATCCATGCTTATTTTTGTCTTGTTACATGGTCATACTACAGTATTATTTTTAAGTCGCAGTAATAGCTTATTATTAAAAGCACTACATAACTCACAATGTTATGTTGAGGGGGTTCAGTAGTAACGAGTTGATAGTGACACATAACAATATAAATTCAAGCTCATAGAATAGTTAGTGTTTAAAATATATCCCCATTTTTACAATTATATTATATTTGCATATTTGTTACAATTTAAAAGTTGTTGAATAAAGAAAATACTCATGTCCAAAAATTCTTAACATTATCCATCTTATTTTGGTTCAAAATTTTCAGAACATGAAACCTCTTTAATTTAACTACTGAAAGTTAACAATTACACTAACTCACTCAACTTTTTAAGTGCTTTTAATCCATTCGTGTTGGGTACTTAACAACTTCTGGACTTTAATACTATTCAACACAAAATATAATAAAATCACTTTCACTTATATGCAAATTAGTTACAATCACTTTTTTATGTTATATTAACAATAAATAACATGACTGCAATTGTCTATCTGTAGCGAACATAAGAATGTACACATTTCAATTCTTCCAGAAGTTGGGATTCTGCTGTAACCGTCTTTCAAAGTTCTGATACCATGTCTGGAGTGTGTTGAGCGGTATGTAAAGAACACCTGGAGTGGGAGTCATTTGCTCTTGCGTCACAGAGAAGGATGCCACAAAATTTACTAGATTCTCTAACATTCTTTGAGCAAATGTTATATATGAGTTAGTCTGCAGGGCCTGAAAAATCAAATAAATATATAAATAGATCCTCTTTAATTAGAATCGAATAATGGTTGTCAATTCTGGTGTGATTCTCTAAACTTAAAACTAAATTTAAAAGCAGTCTCTCTTTTTCATTCTGTGTAGAGAATTTAATTTAGGTTTAGAGAATTATGCCAGAATTGACATCAATATGGTCATATATTTTTCTTAATTCATGTTTGTCTCTTAGAAACCTAAATAGAACATCAATATATTGAAAAGCTCTTCTTACTAAAGAAGAAGTGAAAGAAAAGTAGTCAACTGACTATAAATTCTAAGCAAAGTACTTATACAAGACTAATAAGAATTCAGCTGCAATGCCAAATTTTAAGGCAGTTTTACAGGCATAATTAAAATCTTTATATATATAATTCTTCTGTGAGTGTGTATGTCACTGAACTTCTCTTAAACGACTGGACCGATTTTGATGAAATTTTTTGTGTGTGTTCAAGGGGATCTGAGAATGATTTAGATTCACAAAGACGTGTAGACAGGACAACGTCTGTCGGGTCCGCTAGTATTTTATATTTTTAACTTGCGCTATTAGTATTACCAGTCTAGCTGTTTTATAAAATCTTACTCACCACCGAAGAAGCAAGGAGTTGAACATTTCCCTCGGGTTCTATTGAAATACCAATCTGCGCATTATGGCATATTTGTTGCTGGCCAAAGGCACTGCTGAACTTATTCTCATCTGCAATACCAACATGTAAGTACAATCAGATGAGTAGTTTCATGACCCGAGATCATATATCAAGACAAGACACAGAATAAAACAATATTAAACAGGCAAGTCACTTAGCAACTTACTAGGAAGTTCATGCAATTTCTTTAGATTGCCAATTTTGAAAATAGCGGAAGGTTTGGCGTTGGATATGTGTCCGAGCAGCTGCCAGTTGGGCGGCGCGGCGGGGTCGGGCCAGCTCCAGTACACCATGCCGGCCGTGCCCGCGGGCAGCGGCGTCACGCCCGTCAGGAACACCGCCGCGTGGTTGATGGAGTCCGCCTCCGGGATCGTCACCAGGAACTGAGTCTCCGATAGCGGCATGAAATCCGTCTGCACCTGTGCGACGTACCAAATAACGAATCACATTATCGCACCTAAAATGCTTCATTTTCACCTTTGTGACAACGTTTACTTACCAATCTTCCAGACACTAGTAAACCGAACACGTTAGACATTGTTAAACACTTATTACGACTTAATTATTATTTAATTCTCAGTATTGACCTGAGATTTGATCACAAACTTATTGCGACATAACCTATAACAATTTTACTGAAATTACGAGGTTTTTAGTTAATTTCGACACTACTTTTTATTATATGTATTTGCGAGAATGCGTATAAATGTTACAAGAAAAGTCTGAAACACTTATTTACTATAATGATAGTAGGAGTAAGATTTCGAGATAGAACAACAACTTGGCTTTGACATTTTATTTGTTACGCTAAGTGCGTTTTGAAATACCTTGTCATGTGAGTATTGACTTGACTAGAGCATTCTAGAAATAGAAGCGTTTCGTTACAGCCATCTGTTATCATCGGTGCGCTTACAAAAGTCGGTGTTTTTATTTTTTGTTGTTTTGTTTGTAATCTAAGGTGGAAACTTTTAAAATGCAACTTTTATTACATCGCTACAAGGTTCATTTTTAGCAAATCGCATTACATTTAAAAAAAAAACAGACCTTATCAACTAACAGCGGTGGTTCAATGGTAAAAAGCGTGCCTCCTACGCGGTGGCCCGTGTTCAAATCCCTGCCTACGAAGGACTTTTTTTTATTAACCATTTTACCAATTTTTATTAACACATAGAGACTGATGAAATTTGAAACCGCTACGTTTTGCTACCTATGTGATAGTTTTAATATTGATGTAATAATAAAACTAGCTGTAGCGTTAAAAATCTTATAAATCGCTTTATGCTCAGAATCAGCTTTAATGGCTTAAAATATATTATTATAAGGAGGTATTTTAGTTTATTCCTGCCCGATTGTGTCTGAGGCACGTAGCGATTATTTTCAACTGATTTATACATACTTCTACTTGTAGAGCGTCGCCGGGAGGTGGAGACAAAATAATTGAGCGAAATGTAAAGTGACCAAAGACCTTAATCCCATCATTTGACTGACTTGACTGACTAAAAACTTATGCATGCGTTCATATTATCTTTTTTACAGTTTTCATTTTTGTTATACTGGATCTTATATTATTTCCGTTCCTCAATTATCTCAGCTTGCTGCTCTCCTTAATCGTGCTCTATCTCAACCCTTCTATTTCAACCTTGTATACCCTTAAACTCCCTCTTTTCTCTCTCTTTTATGTAATGCTCCATTCTTGGGTTGGGAGCTTAGATTAAAACAGTACTTTATCTTACCAACTCCCGTTACTATGACTCATTAAATAAAACTATCCATACACACACAACGATAAATATAATAACGAATGATTCCAATCCTAACTGAGGTGAGAGCACTGCATGTGTGAAGCATCATCTACCTCAAATTCATACCTTTCATTTATGTCTATATGAACTTGCCAGACCGTAGCTAAAGGTTATTTGAGAGGACAGCGTTAACAGGGCCGGATTTAGGATTGTGGAGGCCCCGGGCCACTTAGGATTTGTATGCTTGTTGACCCATCGAAATCTTGTTATTTCTTAAGCTGTTGTGGAGGCCCCTGGGCCACAGCCCCACCGACCCTGCCTTAAATTCGGCCCTGAGATTAATATAATCAAATAATCATGTATGTTTGATGTACAAAGTACTGTAGGCTGTAGGTAAAGGTAAAAGAGCAAAAAAATATCAAAGGAAAAGATTTACATTTGAAAGATTTTTTTTTCCGAAGTCTCGATTGTGGGGGCCCCCCGTTTGTGGAGAACCCGGGGCTTTCACTCCGGTTGCCCTCCCCTAAATCCGGCAGTAAGCGTGGTTTAATGGTCTAAGCGTTAAACATAGGGAGAGCATAAGCAGGGGCGTATTTAAAAAAAAATCTCCCCCCTAGCTGCCTTGGAACTGCTCTTTTGATACTTGAAATCTCATTTTGTGCAAATCACGTGAAGACTTTTATAGGATTTTACCTTCATTCCCCTTTCACCGTTTAGTTATGCGGATTAAACCAGTGCACCTTCAATCTGTCTGTCAGCAACGATTGCCTAGGTACTAGAAAGCACCTGTACAGAAACACCACCTAGTTTGGTTAACTCAGTAAAGACCAATAGTTGAATTTTTTCATATTTTTTTCTTTCAAATTACCTATACTAATTTTGAATTCGTATATAAAACTTCATTGGTGCACAAACGTCATAACTGCCATCATAGCGTGCCCCTACACGAGTAAATAAACCTACAATTCGTACATTTCATTTCTCATGTGGTGCCGCTACTGTAGTAATTTATTTATTACTAGCGGCCCGCCCTCGCTTCGCTTCGGTGTAGAGCTATAGTGTAGACTACAGTTTTGGTTCTCAGGCTTGTATTATACACAATGACATTCATCTATGATTCTTCTTATACCTGCATGCAAAGTCTCAGCCCGATCGGTTTAAAATTGACAAAGTTTCATTCCCTATTTTAGCCCCTTGGGGGTAGAATTGATCAAAATCCTTTCTTAGCGGATGCCTACGTCATAACATCTACCTGCATGCCAAATTTCAGCCCGATCCGTCTAGTGGTTTGGGCTGTGCGTTGAAAGATCACTATGTCAGTCAATCACCTTTGAGTTTTATATATATAGACAAAGCTATCATTGCCTAAAAAAATGAACCAAGAAGTAAAATACATTGATATGATAACTTCATTTATTTTATGGTCCTTCGAGCCAGATATATTCAATTCTAAGAGTAGGCTAGTGCTGGAACATAATAGGAAGGAGGTGGTGGGGTATAAAACAAAATAATATAATAAGTTCATCCCATGATCAGTAATTTATTTATTTTATTGAACATGTATGTCAGTCACACAGACCATTTATAACAAAACAATGGGTAATAATAAAATTAAACATTATTTAATACTTCCTCAAATCACATACAGAATCGTGTACAAGTTAAATGCAGTTAGTGAATTCAGAGAGCAGAACAGTAAAATATACAAACAGATAAAAACAGGGAGATAAGGGGTGGCAACTGATAAAATATTTGAACAAATAATACAATTTAGATAAGTCGCGACTTGACGTGCGACTGGTTGAACTATTTCTCTTTTATTTTACAAATTCATTTACAGACAAGTAATTCAATGATATTTATTTTCAACATTTGAGGTAGTGTGACTAAACACAAAAGTTGATATTTCTTACAATTTCATATTATATAACTATGGAATTACAGCAGATTGATTAAATGGGATGTAAAGCTGCCAGTGGTAATTTTGATCAACACGTGAGGTATGTACCTAGTTGTACACATTTTGATGATCAATTTCACAGAAGTACTTACTCTACACACAGTGAATAATAAAGCATGTAGATAATTTTCTAAAGTAAAAATGCGATGAATTGATAGAACAGCAACAAATAAAAAAATAAACAATAACGGTTTATGTATCATACACTTAGCCAGAATTTCTTACCTATTACACACTATGATGGTGTGTACAATGTTACTACGGTAAGAAATTTAAAAATGAATATCTCATTTTAGATTTTAAGATTATAACAACTTATTAAATATATTAACAAAGGAAATAAAATTAATAAATTTAGAACTACAATTGCTTACTACATAATGTAGTATTTATTACATGTTAACATTTGCAACTACTACCAGTGATCCATCATACAATAGTAACTAACATTAATTATTGTACTGATATACTGATTGTGATGTTTCAATCATCTGTATATTTGTAATAACATAAATTAATCTCTCATGTATGGATAGTCAATGTCTCGTAGCGGGACAAAGGTTTCTTTGATAGACTGTGGTGAAGTCCACCTCATGACATAATTGGGTCCTCCCGCCTTATCGTTGGTGCCTGACATGCGGCCACCACCAAATGGCTGCTGTCCCACAACTGAGCCCGTGGATTTGTCATTAATGTAGAAGTTACCTGCTGTTGTCTTGAGTACATCCAAGGCAACTTTCGAAAAATCTTTGTCTTGTGAAAAAACTGCACCGGTTAAAGCAAATTTAGTTGATTCACCGACCATAGATAGAGTCTTATGCACATCAGCATCTTCATATACATAGACAGTGAGTACTGGTCCGAAAATTTCTTCAGTCATCAGTTTATCAAGAGGGTCTTCTGTCTGAATAATAGTTGGTTCTACAAAATATCCTTTGCTGTCATCACATTTACCACCTGCCAAAATTTTGTTCTTAGAATTGCTCTTGGCTCCTTTGATGTAACCAGAGATTCTAGCAAATGCTTTGTCATCAATTACAGCACCAGTGAAGACGCTAAAATCAGAGGGGTCTCCAATTTTAAGTTTGTTACGTTCTGTCACTAAACCATTCTTTATCGGTTCAAACAGAGATTTGGGTACATACATTCTGGAACAAGCAGAGCACTTTTGTCCACAGTATTCAAATGCAGAGCGAATAGTTCCAGTCACAACTGACTGCACGTCTGCTGACGGATGAACAAAGTGATAATTCTTTCCTCCACATTCACCAATGAGCCTTGGGTAGTTTCTATACTTACTCAGGTTTTGACCAACTGCGTTCCAAAGCCAGTTAAATGTGGGCACTGAGCCTGTGAAGTTAATACCAGCCAGATCAGGAGATGATGTAATAGTTTTACCAAATGTGGGTCCATCAGCAGGTACAAAGTTAACTACTCCAGGAGGTAATCCAGCCTCTCTCATAATATTAAAAATACGCCAATTTGAAAGCAGAGCAGTATCAGACGGCTTCCACACTACACCATTCCCCATAAGAGCCGGTGTGTATGCCAAATTTCCACCAATAGCAGTGAAATTAAAAGGGCTGATTGCAGCAATAAATCCATCAATACCACGGAACCTCAAGGAATTTCTTGTAACTTTTGCATTTTCTGATATGGGTTGGTATTTGGCATTTTCCTTCAAGAAAAACACATTAAATCTGAAGAAATCAATTAGTTCTGCAGCAGAGTCTATCTCTGCTTGTATTGCTGTTTTAGATTGACCGAGCATGGTTGCAGCGTTGAGGCTCTGTCTATAACGTCCCGCCATTAATTCGGCAGCACATTGCCAAATGCGTACACGCTCTTCGAGACTGGTGCGATCCCAACGCTCTTGGGCGGCAACGGATACCTTGATAGCCTTTTGGATAGTTTTCTCACTGGCGTAGTAAAACTTGGCAATTTTCTTACTGTGGTTATGGGGCATGACCTGGAAGCGCGGCTCCCCGTCGCGCACCTCCTCGTCGCCTATGACGATGGGCACGTCCTCGGTGACGGCGGCGGCGCGCGCCAGTTCTTCCTTGAGCATATTGCGCTCCTGGCTGCCTTCCCGGTAGCCGAGAATGGGCTCATTTTGCACGTCAAAGTTTTGGAGTTTCGGCAGTTCTACAATGCTAGACACTGAACGTTCCAGCGAACGAGTGCCTCGCAAGGCCCTGGTGCACACACTCAACATGGTATTTCTCAGTTCTGAGACTGTGGAAAGTGAGACAAAACAATGAGTCTCGAGTTACGTAAATAGCGATAGTTCCGGGGATGCCAACGAGGCAGCTAGGTTTTAACAAGCGAAGATTCTTGATAGTAATTGGCAACTGCGATACACGACCTTCACACTGATTCACATTTCGTGACGAATTGAAATGGCACCCAATATTGCTTAGCTTTTTGTTGTTATTGTATTGATTATTCCAATTGGAATAGATTTTTATGATACATTAAAATGTAATTTCTCCGTTCATCACACGGAATCATATATTAATTTATAACTTTAGTTGATTCGACGACAAAAATTAGAAAAACATTATTTCCTTCGTTCCATTTGCTACTTCACACTCAGCTGACTGCTTTGGCTTATGTGTGTGTGTGACAGAGCACGTACCTATAGTAGCACACTACTTCCGGTGGTGCATAAACCATAGACAGATTTAAGGTGAAACTCACTACAGGCGACTTTAATTTTAACTGTTATGAAATTATTAAATCCCTTTTTTTAAGCATGTAACCGCACGTTGTTTAAAACTATAGAAAATATTACTAGAAAATAGACGGGACTCGAACCCGGATCCTTCAAATGCACTGACCATTATGCTACCGCGGCCCTGATGGATATTTTAATGATAAAGAGGTAGTGTCGGATAGGGATTATTTGGGCACTTCACAGCTATTCGCATTTACTCTTAGTAAACTTGACTGCAATCTCCCTTTTCACTCCCTATAGAGTACGATAAGGACAACCTGCTGTCAAAATGACATAAGTTACAAATACGAATAATTTTATTATGCTATGTGCCGCCATTATATTGTCAAATCCGGGAAAGTTAATCGAGTACGTATATATATATATATATATATATTTCTTAGTTATTGATGTTTCATTATTGATATCAAAATAATATCTTAAGAAAACGGAGGGGCAAACGAGGTAGTAAAACAGAATCGGCAACAAATCGGAAATGAATTTCCCACAATGCAATTATGATGCAGTTGCATTTTATGATAACAGTGCATAACTGGAAGTAATAAATAAAACTAGTTTTACTTTACGAATTGAATTTATTAAGTAAGCACGTCCACATCACAAGTTTTCAATCAAAGAATGAGACGCGCTCGCACATTTGCGCTGTATACCACAACACTAGCTGTCATATTGTCTTCTTCTTTTATTTTATGGCTTATAAAATTCCGCCAATAACCATACCAACGCATTCGGTTCAAATTGTAGCATTGTGTGGACTGACCGGTATTTAACTTTAGGTGGGTCTCTACCTACAAGACATGAAGCAACTTATAATTCACCCACGTGAACCAAGTTTTAAAATCTTTAATATTTATTTAGTGAAAACGAATTAAAAAAATCGCAATAAATAAGCTGTCGCAGTTACGATAAATTAAGACAACCATGTCGCAGTCAGTAAAACAAGCTTTAAGAAGGCTAGTATAGATTGGTATTACGCTACCAGGGTTTGTTTGACCTATATACAATGCGCATGTGCAAACATACCACCACCCCATGATCAGAAGATGCACAATGGATGCACATTTTAGCTACACTAATGCCATTGCAGAGGGCTTATGTTGATTACCGATCGCAGTTTTAACTAAAGACGGAAACGCCAGAAATATGGTCTTGAGCATCATCAAAAATTTTAATGGACTAATATGTTTATGGTGGCTCCATACATGACTTAGTGGACAAATACGAATAGCCATTAGATTCATAGAGATAGACATAGATATAGAGTTTCTATCACAGGCCATCGGTGCTGGAAGCTGGCAGCCGGCCAGGCAGGACTTTGTGTTTAAGCGGCATGCTTTTTATTAGCCCCTGCTCAAATTGCTGCATGGTACAGACTCCTGCCAGTGCGAGATGACTGAAAAATCTCTATCTGGGAGGAATTCAACAACGACTGACGCCGCCGCGGCGCCGCCGGCTGCCGGGGGCTTAGGACGAATGTTAATGTTAACGCAGGCCTCTTCCAGCGCCCGTCAAGAAGTAAAATGTAGCTGTAATATAGTCAGGTTTATTTGGTGTTTCGTAAGTTTGGGTGAATTAATGCACTTCAGACTGTCCCATATATAGCTTAATAACTTCATATCTCATGACCTTATAATTCACACCAATTTGCCTAGCCTGGCCCCAAAGTAAGAAGCAAGGGCGTCGGCAAGGGGGGGCGGCTGCCCCCCCCTAGAGACCAATAAATGTAGCTAGCCGCAAAGCGACCAAAGTGCGAGCAATTAACTTCCTTACCTATAAAATTGCCCCCCCCCCCCCCCCCCCCTTAGTCATAAGCTGGCGACGCCCTTGGTAAGAAGGTTTGTATACTAAGGGATACTAAGCTAACGGATACGTTTACGAAACTTACTACAAAATAAATAATTATAATATTTTTTAGAGATTATTTTATAACTATAATAACAATATGAACAGCCATGTTTCTGCTCGGGGACAAATGCTCGTATTCATTAGATCGTTTGCTGAACCGGGAATCGAATCCAGGACCGCTGAGTAAGCGCGATACCTTCAAAACCAATTTCTCTTCCATGTCATCAAATTCAATGTAATAATTTTAATCATAGCTGCAGAACATGACATTTGCATATTTGTAATGGTATTGTTACTTTTGGACAAAGTATTCGTTCTCCTGTTTGTCAACTAAGAATTTGATTTTCCCGCCCTTCATTGCCATAGAGAATGGATACTCTTTAGAAAGAGACAAAGCGATGTTGCAGTCTATCTACATGAACTATTGGATCGTCTACTACACGATCGTCGCTATGTGCCTCTCACACTTATCTGGCCTGTTTTACTTCACAGGAACGGTACATTCTTCGTTTGGTACATTCTTCAAGTTTCCACCATACTTGTTTTCGGAACAAAGTTCCTTTTCGGACCGACTTGGTGGATGCGAAAAAATTTTAATATTTTTCCGTCACAACCGTCAGATGATTCGTAGCGTATTGTGTGTAGTTTGTGTACTTATAGGGTAGTCTGTACTGATGTTGGTCCTACCAAAATGATTGGCGTCCTCGTATTTGCACTAAAATTACAAAGGAATTTATAAATAAATATTGCACACGATATTTTTTTGAGAAAGTGAAACTTTTATTTGACATTGTCACATCTTCTTTCGTTTATCTTTAACAAGTACCGATGGTTTAGTGGTAGAAAACTCGCCTTCCATCCGGGCTTCTAGGTTCCATTTCCAACTTGAGGAAGGACCCTTTTTATAAGCCTGAGTGGCTTTAAATAAGTATAGGCCTGCGTTCTCTTTTATATCTCTTAAAATAATCAAACCAGAATTGAGTTAGGGTGGCTGCAAATCATTTATGCTGCTGCTTACTTAACAAAATTCTAGTCTAGACTAGAAATACTAGAATAGCCGGATTTTTTCTTCTCAGTTTTTATTTATATTTTATTTTTAAGCTGGTGGGACTTTTGACTGTATTAATTTACAATTTTTTGTAGTAAAATAAAATAACAAACACCACATAATCTGTATATATAGTTTTATTGCCACGTCAGCACAATTATATGTAGTATACAATAATGAACCGTATTACAGTAGCGGGCGCGGACCAGCCTAGTATTTGTACCGCCGGCGTCTCCTGTATCCGCAGCCGGGCCTAGCCAATAGTGCTTACCCTATTAAGAAGTGCGATTCAAATTTTACGGCGGTTGTGAAGTCAGCAGCGAGCGCAAATATGGGCGAATTTCAGGTTAGTCCCGCGCGCGCTTACATCACCGTACATTTCCTTAATTGCGCTGCGACTCGGGGTAACTTCGCAACTATTAAGTTTGAATCGCACTGGGCACATCAATTTATTATACAAAAATGATTGGACTTACTTAACCTCTTTCCGCGGTCACCGTCAAAGCTAAAGCAAGTGCCATAAGGTAATTATTAATTCCTTTCCCATGTATCAAATGAGCGCGGAAGGAGTAACAGTTAGAAAGGCCTCTGGTTGTCTTGTTTATCAATGACGGTGCTCAATTTATTATGTCATTTATTTCCATGTGTTTCTAACACAACACACGAAGTTAAGAAATACACATAATTTAAATAAAAAAAATACATTCTGTTTTCATTCAGTATCAACTAAGTACAAATAAATCATAACAAAAATATTTTCTTATCTTTGTCTTTATAAATTTTACAAATCAATACAACTTCATCATTATCAACAGCCCATTTTGGTCCACTGCTGGACATAGGCCTCTCAACACAACTTATGTCACTTTAATTCGAATGTTATAATAAAATATAGTTAACCAATTCAAATACTTTGTCAATGATGACTATGCTGTGTTGAACATTATTTTGGCGGTGTTATTGTATAGATAGTTGGGCTAAGCCCGCCTGCAGGCATTGACCGCGCCCCATTTGTGCCGTTACTACGCGCGGGCCATATTAGCAACGAAATTTCAGATTCGCTCAAAGTTATTTTACTGCGGCTGAGCGAAGCGACCGTTAGCAGTGTCAACACAATTACGAAAAGACATGAATGAAAACCAATTTCATTCTTTTTAATTATAATGGCTTAATTTTTATAGTTTAAACCAAAGTTAAATTAGCTTCCAATATGGCCTGCAGTTGCCGCGTGCAGCCTCCACTGCTACATTTTAACACTGAGTATTGACTCGCGCCTAATTTCACGCCGCTCTCCAGTAAGGCACCAACGTCAGGGAGGACTCGCGCGTCGGCCATTCCCTACTCGATTTTAGCAATAATAATAATCAACTAACTCTAAGCTACATCATAATAATATGCATAAGTATACATCTAGGCATTGGCAAGTGATCGCTGCGGTATACGGCGAAGCGAACCTACCTCCTATCGGAATAAAGTTTAGAATCGCGCGACCGCAGCTCTACAAACGATATATATAATAATTATGACACTCTTACAGCGTGCCTGAACGAATCAGCTATGCTAAATAAGTAACGACTACGATTCATAATAAATGCTCGGAGGCGACGCGCGCGCCGCCATCGCATGACGTCACACGCCAGTAACGCTAACATCCTCAACTAAACACGAAATGACACGAACTAGGACTCCAGGGGTAGTGGAGTGGCCGGACTCCCAGCTTTTTTGGAGTTTACTCCTTAAGAATCGATTTGCATATATAAGGGGCCCGGTATGAGAAAAATGTGAGGAGTAAAATCTATCGATGAATGACCTCGTTACGTTTTTGGTGCGCATCCTATGTCGCGCAACTTTGAGAAACAAAGATGACGGATTGACATTAATAACCATAAACCACTTGTCACTGTAATTAATAATGCAGACAATGTTGATTAAATTAATATTTAAAAAAATGATAATAGTCTGATAATAATAATTACATAATTTATCAACATTCCTAATGATATATTTATGCACATCTGAAATTGACTATTGTAAAAAGTTTAATGTAAAATATTTCGTCGATTAGTTATAATAAATGTATATGAAATTAATAAATATATATTTATATATGTATATTATTTTCATTAATTTGTTAATTTACCCTTTCATACAGTATTAATCTTTTTTAAGTTAAATAAACTCTTTTTGCGTCTGGTAAGACAATCAAACTTAAGAAGTAAACTCCAGTCGTGCGTCGGAGCTGACACACACAATTTTTTTTTAATATAGCCAGGTAGACAAATGACTCTACCCCACTTGATGTTAAGTGGTGATAAAGTCCATATAATTAATATATTACTATGACTAACTATGACGCTCCAGCGGGATCACACCTTAAAATCTAACATTTTTGGACTACATTGAGCTTGTAGAAGTAGAAATGTGTCTGCGTCGCGTTTCTTCGCACGATAAGTACAAAATCATTTGTATACGCATACAAAATTGTCATATTTTATTCTAAGAACGAGTACGCGACGACGGCTATCTCCGGCGTCGTGTCGCCTTAACCCTTAATAACCTAGAGTTTCAATTTTGATACTAATATTTTAAACCGAATATTCACATTACTATTATTTTTTTTTATATGTTGGCTGTATGTATTTTACTGTTGTATAGTATTCTATCCAACGAAATTAAAAAAAAAAAAAACAAATGTCATTATTGTTTTATTTTATCTGTGACATATTACTTGCGCGGCAAAGTGAACAAGTAAACACATTTTACTAAAAGTTTTGTTGAATATAAATTTGATATATTTTCTTTTTCTGAAGAATATAAATACTTTTGAGGTAAGTGAATACATTATTTTCGCTATGATATAATTATTTTTAGCAAATGCATGTTTTACTTGAAGAAATTAGTGCTTTTTTTTTGGTATCAATATTGATACTTCAGGCATTCCGCCCTACATAAAACCTACCTACTAACTCTTTAGCTATAAAACTTTTTGAACTTTCGTTTCATATTTTTTCTGCATAGCTTGGTGTGGGGATTACTTTTGTTTTTATTTATTATAGAAATTTATCCAAAATGCGGCCAGAAGAGATTGAGAACATATTGAAGCGGTTAGAAAATGGTGAAATTTCGGAAGACGATTCCACCGACAATGAAGATGACATAGACTATTATTCGAGCCAAAGAGATCGTCTGATGGAGCTAGATGATGAAGAGGATGTAGGTAATTTTCCCACTGACCCAAACTTGGATGCAGATCCGCCTGCAGCAAACGTAGATACCGACATGCAACATAATTTAGAGACTGTTGAACGAAACCCAACTCCTACAACCAGCAGCCAGAACAACCTGCAAACTGCACCTTTCAACTCTAGAAACTTAGTGTGGAGAGTAAAAAATATGGATTTAGTCCAAAATGCTTTCCAGTTTGCTGGAAATACTGAGTATTCACAAGAAATTATGAACTTAGACACTCCATTTCAGTTTTTTTCTTATTTTTTCGGTGAAGACATTTTGAGATTTCTAGTGGACGAGTCAAATAAATATGCCTTCCAAAAGAATCCCAACTTTACAGAACCTGTAACTGTCTTAGAATTACGTAAATTTATTGGTATTCTTATTTTTACTAGTGTATATCATTATCCTAGTGTCCGGTCATACTGGTCAAACATTACAAAGTTTGAACCCATAGTACAAACAATGAATCGCAACAGATTTGATAAAATTAGAGAAATTTTTCACATGAATGACGACTCTAAACATTTGCCCATTGATCACCCCCAGCACGACCGACTGCATAAAGTAAGACCAGTGATAGACTATTTGAACAAGAAATTTATTACTTTACCATTTGAGCATCGTCTATCACTAGACGAGCAGATGTGTTCCACAAAAATGAAACATTTTATGAAACAATATTTACCCAACAAGCCCCATAAGTGGGGATTCAAATTATACGTGTTATGCTCTCTGTCTGGTTATGCCTACAGTTTTGAGATTTACTCGGGAGCTAAGGACATGGACCGTTTACCTGGCGAACCAGACCTCGGAGCTGTGTCGAATACAGTTATTCGATTGCTACGACCAGTACCAAGGCATGTCAATCATATAATTTATTTTGACAATTTTTATACGAATATTCCTCTGGTACATTACTTGACCAACGAAGGTATTTATTGTCTTGGAACAGTACAGAGAAACAGGCTTGGAAAGTCGTGCAAGTTGCCGGAGAAACGGGAGATTATGAAATCCAACGTACCCAGAGGAACATATCACGAAAATGTGGCCTCTCACGAAGGCCTAGAATTGTCGGCCACAAGTTGGAAAGACAACAAACAGGTATTATTACTATCCACGTATGTTGGCGCTGAACCAGCGGATACTATAACCCGCTACGAAAAAAAACTAAAGGCCAATATTCAAATATCATGTCCTCGGGTTGTAAAAGAATATAATGCACACATGGGCGGCGTTGATTTGATGGATAGCTTCATTGGTCGATATCGCATCCGCATAAAGTCGAGAAAGTGGACAACGAGGCTCTTCTACCACTTGTTAGACATGACTGTCATCAATGCTTGGGTACTGTACAAAAAGGTAAACACAAGGAAAGGAAAACTTCAGAAGAATATTATGAAGTTAGCAGATTTTAGAACTGAGCTTGCCGATACTTTATGTAGATATCAAAGTCACTCAAAAAATAAAAGGGGCAGACCCAGTACTAACAGTCAACAAGACAATACAGTACCCTCTAAAAAACCCCGGACAGGTGCACAAGTACTACCCCCAACTGACGTGCGTTCCGATTGTATTGGCCATGAAAAAATATTTATGGAGTCTAGGAATAAATGTAAATTTAGTAATTGTAGGAAACTTACCTCCTGGTTCTGTAAAAAATGCAAAGTATCGTTATGCGATAATAAAAACAATCGATGTTTCGCATTATTTCATGCATAGGTCATTTAAGATTTCTTTATGGCCATAATGCCTGAAGTATCAAAATTGATACCTGTTTTTTTTTTTAAATAAATATGTAAAATAAATATTGTGATTTATTTAGCTATTTTTCCCTTCATCTAGACCCTCAAGCAAATACAGTAATATTTAAAAAAGAAGACTCGCGTAAATCAGGCTACTAAGGGTTAAGTGAAAATGTCAAAAATTCTTCTCAAAAACTTGTATATGTTATTTTAAAAGCTAGTCAGTCAAGCTTCGTTACTGTTTGTTTAGTACCGACCGGATTAGTATCGGAATCAAGGGCGGATCCAGGGGGGGTGGTCATGGGGGTCATCAGGGGGGGGCTGGGCTGGGTACAGATGGACCAAACCCAGGGGATTTTATTTAAGTACTTTCAATATTTAATATACCACGACTATATGACCCCCCCCTGGGCCAAAGCTGGGTATATGACCCCCCCCCCCCGGCGCTAAAGCTGGATCCGCCCTTGATCGGAATGGAATATAAGCCACGGTTTCAGTCACGCGTCAACGTTGTACGCGCCGTACACAATGTTCACTTAACATTAAGTACATCAATTCTTTAACATCACCAGTGGCGACTCCCTCGAGTCGCTTAATGAACAATTACAAAATTTGTCTTATCACTGTACCTATAAATATTTCACAATGCATGTTGTCTCATTATAAACTAATTTCTTAAATACTTCGATAAGTGGAAAGTGCCCGTCGTTTTGCGGAATAAGAGAGGATTACATTAATTTACAAGAAATTTTATTATTCTATCTTTTAGGGGTCACTTTCTATCTTTTAGGGTCAGTTTCTATCTTTAAGGGTCACTTTTTATCTTTTAGGGTCAGTTTCTATCTTTAAGGGTCACTTTCTATCTTTTAGGGTCAGGTCAAACGCGGGAATAGGGTAATATTCTCGCGTTTTACTATAACCAATAATAACTTCAGTAACATATAGTATATTATTGGTGCTTCTCAAATCATTCTTTAGTCAATCATTTGCGTCCGCTGTGTTTCAATGAGAACTAACTCTAAGCAACATCGTATGAAATAAATTGTATATTTTGTCCAATAAAGTCAGAATTAATTATTCACGCGAGGAATACATTCATAATAATAAATAGTTGAAAATTAACATCTAGCTTTTTAATAGTATAGAATAGAGCACACTAAATATTATTATTATATTAAGTAATTAATACATGGGTACTTGAGCAGTTTACGATACAAAGGCGATATACGCACCAACAGAGTGCATTCATACTAAAATAGTACATCCACAATAGTACACAAACAGTATGAGGAATGCGTCAAAAGTATTTTGTAATTGACGTTGAATACATTAGCATCGATCAGAGAGAAGGGTTGGTTATGTGCACAAATCAACGTATCAAAGTCACTCAGTATAAAATATGTTGTCTTGTCCCTCTGTCTGTGTGGTGTTTGTGGAGAAATCTTGATTATTTTTTTGTCATTTGAGGCTCCTGGCATCATGGCGTATTCGTTGTTCTCTCTGTGAAATAATAAAAAAGTTACCTACAATGCGAAGAAATGGCGCTGCCTTGCAGCTTAAGAATGGCTAGAAGAATTTCGACGCGGCCGTCAGGGCCACGGTAGCATAATTGGTCAGTGCATTCGCCGGATAGCGAAGGGTACAAGTCCCGTCTGCGTCTGGTCCGCGTGGAATTTTTTCTAGTTATATTTTCTTTAGATTTAAGCATCAAGCATTTGTATGCTTATAAAATAAAAATTATAATAAAAAGGTTTTCAAACTGTACCCCTAGCACGAACCATTATCGAATTCGAATAGTTTACAAACCGAAATGTCAATGTCAAATTTTGTATGGCAGCTTGAACAGCAGCGGCACAAAGTACGTAACGAGAACTAAAAATCAGTACGCATTTGACAATGACATTTCGGACTCGCAAACGATACGAATTCGATATTGGTTCGTGCTAAGGGTACTGTAACAAGATTATGAAAAATTAGTGTTCATAAAAGTATGACACAAATAAATATTTTTCTGTCTTTTCTGTGACTTAGAATCAATATTTTTTTTGTAGGAAAACGAACAGCTTTGAATGGTAAGAGGAGCTCGATGGCGCAAGTGGTTAGCGCGTTCGGCTGCGATCGTTGAACTGAAGCAACTTTCGCAATGGTCGGTTATTGGATGGGTGACCAAAAATACTATCTCGAGTTCCTCCGTGCTTCGGAAGGCACGTTAAGCCGTTGGTCCCGGCTGCATCTGCAGTCGTTAGCACCCGCGAATACGCACTGGGCCCGCGTGGTGGGTCATGGCCCAATCTCCCTATTCCATCCATAGGGAAGTCCTGTGCCCCAGCATTGGGGACATTAATAGGCTGATGATGATGAAAACATAAAAAATATTTAAAAAAAGAGAAATAATAAATAAATAAATATTTCCAACACTCACACCAATTAGCCTAGCCCCAAAGTAAGCACTGTAAGGCTTGTGTTATGGGATGCTAGGGTAACGGATAGAATACATATACTGTACATATATAGGTATATTAATATAGAAATACATATTAAACATCCATGACTGGAGTACAAATGCTCGTATTATTCACACAAACATCTGCCCCCACCGGGATTCGAACCCGGGACCTCTCGAGTCGGCGACACCATGAAACCTGGCGTACAAACCACTCGGCCACGGAGGTCGTCAAATAGTAATCCAATTACAGGTTTTCATGTCGAAAAAAGGTCAATATCCAAGTCTGCCCATTTTATATGATTTATGAAATTACTACTCGCACGCCAAAGAAATGAGCTCAGACGAAAGTTTGATGAAGCCCCGGCCACGATATATTAATGTATGTATTGTATGTATGTGTGTATATATATGTGTATAAAACGTGTGTATTCTATTGAGAATATTTATTCCTGGTATATCTTACATTAGGGTATTTGACAAGTTTTAGAAAACGATCTCACGTTATTGACTAATGTTTATGGAGTCCGTAAAAAGTGGATATTCAGCATTCTGTTGTGTATTTCAGTAAAAATAACCAAATCAAAAACTCCATTTTCAAGTTGCCGCGAAAACGTTTCTCTGGACAATATGGCGTCTTACTAGTGTGTGACGTCACACGACTGTTATTAAAACGTCAAACGATACAATGTAATGTCACTTTAACCGGAAGTTTACTTGCGTGTGACGTCATTTTAGGCTCCGCCAATCCCAAGCGTTTTGGGTCACGTAACCATGGAGCGAAGAAATCATTTTTATTTAATGATTTTATAGAAAAGTTATTAATTATTTGTTCATTCGGAATAGTAAAATCGCTGCTTATATTCATATTAAATACGATTGCCGTTTCGCGGCAACTTGAAACTTGAATTTTTAATTTAGTTTCTTTTTTTACTGATTTACACAACATAATTAAAAATATCCATAAACTTTGGTAAATGATCCGAGATCGTTTTCTAAAACTTGAGAAATACCCTATTCTCCAGGTTCGCATATATATACCTGCCGGCCCCGCCCGGCACGCAGTAGGGGGACCGCGGTCCTCATAGTGCGTGTCGGGTGACGGTGCACGAGTATTGTCTGGTTTTCAGTGCCCCTGTTGAGGGCATAGGTAGGGCCCTGCTCACATCGGCGAGCTCCAGGGCTGGTTGAAGAGGACAGGGAGGAGTCCCACATACCTTCTCGCTCCCCCAGTGGTTGAAGGATGCGTAAGGTATTTTTCAGACACAAAAAACATAAAAAAAAGTTAACATATATATATATATATATATATGAGAATAGACTGCCTCACCAGAACAGCAGGTCCGTGGTGTGAGTCCTGGCGGCGCTCCAACACCTGGCGTCGGCCCCCCCCCCCTCATGATGCGCCCGCACTCACCAGAACAGCAGGTCCGTGGTGTGAGTCCTGGCGGCGCTCCAACACCTGGCGTCGGCCCCCCCCCCCCCCCCCTCATGATGCGCCCGCACTCACCAGAACAGCAGGTCCGTGGTGTGAGTCCTGGCGGCGCTCCAACACCTGGCGTCGGCCCCCCCCCCCCCCCCCCTCATGATGCGCCCGCACTCACCAGAACAGCAGGTCCGTGGTGTGAGTCCTGGCGGCGCTCCAACACCTGGCGTCGGCCCCCCCCCCCCCCCCCCCTCATGATGCGCCCGCACTCACCAGAACAGCAGGTCCGTGGTGTGAGTCCTGGCGGCGCTCCAACACCTGGCGTCGGCCCCCCCCCCCCCCCCCCTCATGATGCGCCCGCACTCACCAGAACAGCAGGTCCGTGGTGTGAGTCCTGGCGGCGCTCCAACACCTGGCGTCGGCCCCCCCCCCCCCCCCCTCATGATGCGCCCGCACTCACCAGAACAGCAGGTCCGTGGTGTGAGTCCTGGCGGCGCTCCAACACCTGGCGTCGGCCCCCCCCCCCCCCCCCCTCATGATGCGCCCGCACTCACCAGAACAGCAGGTCCGTGGTGTGAGTCCTGGCGGCGCTCCAACACCTGGCGTCGGCCCCCCCCCCCCCCCCCTCATGATGCGCCCGCACTCACCAGAACAGCAGGTCCGTGGTGTGAGTCCTGGCGGCGCTCCAACACCTGGCGTCGGCCCCCCCCCCCCCCCCCTCATGATGCGCCCGCACTCACCAGAACAGCAGGTCCGTGGTGTGAGTCCTGGCGGCGCTCCAACACCTGGCGTCGGCCCCCCCCCCCCCCCCCTCATGATGCGCCCGCACTCACCAGAACAGCAGGTCCGTGGTGTGAGTCCTGGCGGCGCTCCAACACCTGGCGTCGGCCCCCCCCCCCCCCCCCCTCATGATGCGCCCGCACTCACCAGAACAGCAGGTCCGTGGTGTGAGTCCTGGCGGCGCTCCAACACCTGGCGTCGGCCCCCCCCCCCCCCCCCCTCATGATGCGCCCGCACTCACCAGAACAGCAGGTCCGTGGTGTGAGTCCTGGCGGCGCTCCAACACCTGGCGTCGGCCCCCCCCCCCCCCCCCCTCATGATGCGCCCGCACTCACCAGAACAGCAGGTCCGTGGTGTGAGTCCTGGCGGCGCTCCAACACCTGGCGTCGGCCCCCCCCCCCCCCCCCCTCATGATGCGCCCGCACTCACCAGAACAGCAGGTCCGTGGTGTGAGTCCTGGCGGCGCTCCAACACCTGGCGTCGGCCCCCCCCCCCCCCCTCATGATGCGCCCGCACTCACCAGAACAGCAGGTCCGTGGTGTGAGTCCTGGCGGCGCTCCAACACCTGGCGTCGGCCCCCCCCCCCCCCCCCCCCTCATGATGCGCCCGCACTCACCAGAACAGCAGGTCCGTGGTGTGAGTCCTGGCGGCGCTCCAACACCTGGCGTCGGCCCCGCCCCCCCCCCCCCCCTCATGATGCGCCCGCACTCACCAGAACAGCAGGTCCGTGGTGTGAGTCCTGGCGGCGCTCCAACACCTGGCGTCGGCCCCCCCCCCCCCCCTCATGATGCGCCCGCACTCACCAGAACAGCAGGTCCGTGGTGTGAGTCCTGGCGGCGCTCCAACACCTGGCGTCGGCCCCCCCCCCCCCCCCCCTCATGATGCGCCCGCACTCACCAGAACAGCAGGTCCGTGGTGTGAGTCCTGGCGGCGCTCCAACACCTGGCGTCGGCCCCCCCCCCCCCCCCCCCCTCATGATGCGCCCGCACTCACCAGAACAGCAGGTCCGTGGTGTGAGTCCTGGCGGCGCTCCAACACCTGGCGTCGGCCCCCCCCCCCCCCCCCCCCTCATGATGCGCCCGCACTCACCAGAACAGCAGGTCCGTGGTGTGAGTCCTGGCGGCGCTCCAACACCTGGCGTCGGCCCCCCCCCCCCCCCCCCCCCCCTCATGATGCGCCCGCACTCACCAGAACAGCAGGTCCGTGGTGTGAGTCCTGGCGGCGCTCCAACACCTGGCGTCGGCCCCGCACGGCCTGGCGTCGCCCCCACTCTCCTCTTCCACGTCCGCGTGTGTCTCCCTCTGCGAGTGCTCCGTCGCCTCCCCGTTCTCTTTCTCGCTGGGCTCCACGCCGTTTTCTACGTTAGGAAGAACACAAAAATAAAAATTTGTGCGCCCGGCCCACACGTCTGAAGTGAAACTTCTAAGGCGTAGGGGAATGTAGCAGCGCACGCATTACTCATATATATACGGGGGTGGTCACATAATGTAAGACCCCCCCCCCTCCCCTGATTAACCACAAAAAACTTACTTATGGTACTAACTGTGGCGGCGACATCTATATGCCCCACATATATACAACGGATGGAGGAAATCATTACTCACCATCCTCAAGAGATGGCGTTACCTGCACTGCGATCATAATAGTATGGAAACCTACATCGCGTAAATAAAATTCGGAAGCTAACTCTTCATATATACGATGCCCGACCGATATCAGTCGGGCCGCGGCCCCCGAGCTACCATCACCTAGCTCGGAGGAAGATAGCTAAAATTGGTATTTAATCCAGTTTAATTGTTATTAAACCATACGCGACGTTGTATTCTTACAATGTGGGACAAAAAATAGTTGTGTTCGTTAATAGTTTAGACCTTGCTCACTATGGGAACGTAAAACAAACTTTTTAACTTACTTGTAGCTGGCCAGTTAATTCAAGGCCAGTCCCGGCTACAGTCGTTAGTCACCACTAATCCGCACTGGGCCCGCGTGGTGAGTCATGGTCCAATCTACAATGTATGCCGTCGACTTCATTTCGGACTTACATTCGTCAACTCGTTTGTTATAACCAGCTAACTACACTAATATCTTAAATTACTATTATAATAAACTGTTTTCGGAAAATAAGTGACATGTTTTTTTTTTGATGATTAATTAACAAAGCGTCCAGTAAGTAATACAGACTGGTTTGATAAACAATCGATTTGATGATTGAGATTGTTTAATAGTAATTAACAATAAAAAAAATGATAATAAACGTAAAACTTATAGCATTAAAATAAAAAAACACATCAATCACATTTTTAGCGTTTACCAAAAAACAAGAATTTTGGATTAGGTTACTTCAATTCTAAAGGTGCGATAAGATCTTAATTAAAACGCATGCGTCAAAGAGTTCCGACAGTTTAAAATTAAAGCTCGTAAAATTTTACGAATTACTGCTTGATGCGGAAGAATATAGACCTTATTTCTTTGTCTCTACCCGCAATTCCGAATGCGCTGTTAGCAATATAGCAAGGACGGACCGCGAGGAAAAGAGACGGCTATATAACCGACCATGCATTTGAATATCACAAATATTTTCTATTAAATCCGTTTATAGGAAGTATTAAAAAATAATAATAGAACAAAGTTTTAAATGCGTTAATTTAACACACATTGATTGCATACCTGTCGAAAAAGCAACACTTTACGTACTATAAATATCTTTTATAGCACAGTGTGACCTAAACCCGCACTTTACGCACGCTTTTCCGTGACCTAAGTTGCCTATTTCTGCACGGTGTGTAAATGAATTGACCAACTTCACTCATGTAGAAAAAATAAAAGGAAACACATTTAAATGTCATTTGGAGCTTAAAAACTCACAGCAAACAAATGACAAATTAGCGATAGGTTAGGTTATTCTGTTGTAATGATATTTGATTTTTTCCTTTTGAAATATACTTTCAAAATGGTAATCTGAACCGGAATTGTTTCTTTTCAGAGTTTGACTTGCAGTCTGTATTGCAATTCTTTGTGATTGCAATACATGAATTTTACTTTTAAAACAGTAATCGCACCCCCCCTCTTGCCCGCGTCCGGGGCGGGTTTATGTCACACTGGCTATAAAATAGTATACGATACTTGTGGCCTAAGTTGTCTATTACTGCACGGCGTTTAGCACCGGGCGCTAACTTCACGCCGTGCAGTAATAGGCAGCTTGTATCGTAATGTACTATTTCGCATTTTTTCATGGAGCTCTGAGCTAAACTAAGAAGTGCTCGAGTGGCGTTCAAGCACTTCTTGATTGGGCCGTATTTCGAGCGCACGTGGTTTATGTAGGGTATTTAATATCGTTGGTTGGTCCTAATAGGGTATTTGACAAGTTTTAAAAAACGATCTCACGTTATTTGCTAATGTTTATAGAGTCCATAAAAAGTGGATATTCATCATTATGTTGTGCATTTCGGTAAAAAAACGAAATCAAAAACTTTATTTTCAAGTTGCCGCGAAAAACGCTTCTCTGGACAATATGGCGTCTCACTGGTGTGTGACGTCACACGACTGTCATTATAACGTCAAACGATACAATCAAATGTCACTTTAACCGGAAGTTTACTTGCGTGTGACGTCATTTTAGGCTCCACCAATCCCAAGCGTTTTGGGTCACGTGACAATAGATAAGAAAACTATTATCTTCATCGTGGGTTTTTAGTAAAATTATGAATATTTTTTCTATAAAAATAGTAAAAACTCTTGGCAATATTCATTCTAAATACAGACGCTAACAATTGGCACTTTATTTTTAATACTGTCAAATACCCTATTGTATATTGTAGTATATCGTTTTAAACTTTCATGGTCACTAACATTACAGTAATATAAGTTATTTACGGGATTGTTACCATGTACCTTGTTTTTAGCGAGTTTCCGATATTTCGGTTTATTGTAAGTGAGTAATACGTACCAGCATGCGTGGGGTCTGGAGTCTTGGTGACGCCGAGCTGGAACACGTTGTGGGGCGTCTTGCTGGGCGTGTAGCGACACAGCGACGCCGACGCTGCAACCACATACCGGGATACACTACCACTACACTACACTAGCTATACCACTACACTAGCTACAGGTCGCGGCACCTGACTAGCGCTCGATGTGGCGGCGGCGTCTACCTCACATATAACTAACATGGAGCAAATACTTATACACGGTGTTACAAAAATACAAATAAAGCTTGAAGAGCGTTGAAATATATCATACAAGAAGTCTTCTCTAATTTTCTTAAAATATTTGCATGAAAATTTAACTTTTTATAAAAACAGTTATTTTTAATGATTAATAAAAATATCGATCATTTTAAGACAAGTCACTAGTTCGAGGATCATTAAAAATAATTGCTTTTATAAAAAGTTAAAACTTTCTGCAAATATTTTAAGAAAATTAGAGAAGACTCCTTATATGATGTACTTAAACGCCCTTCAAGCTTTATTTGTATTTTTGTAACACCCTGTATATATATATATTTTAAGCATGTAATTGCTTCATGTTTAAATCTAAAGAAAATATAGGGGGAAACGACTGGAGATACAATCGTCGCAACGCACACGCGCCCGCGCACCTCTGTTTTCCCTCAATACATTTTCATTTTTACTTCTGCGCAATAACGGTCAGCGCAGAAGTTTCGTGCCGCGACTTATATACGATAAGTTTAGCGGCACAGCGCCGACGCTGAAAAGTTATACCGTGCTACAATACTACTCTACTAGTTATACACAGTCATGCACCTTTCTTGTTCACGCATATCAAAGACGCGTATTCACACTACCTACCCTCAAATCCAATATTATAATTGTCAAATAAATTAGTTTTTTAGTAAATAATATCAATCAATATGTTCATATTACAGTAAACTGTGTTGTATTGCATTACATTTGAAGAGTGGAGGGCTGATAACCTGAGACACGGGTTTTTTCCTAGTTCAGGTGTCAGCCCGCCATAATTAGATAAGTGACCTTTTTACTTAGTGTTTTTAATGGAATAAGAAACTGATTATGGTGAGAAATAAAGAATTATTATTATTATACAACTACGCTGGCTATACGATACGATACGATGATAAATAGATAGTATTCTTTAAGAGGGGAGGCGGCAATGTTTTGTCCACATAAATGCTTTCGACTGATAACTCCATAATTTTATTACAAAAAAAATATGATTTTCATACATAAAATACAATTTTTGTCGTTCTATGTATTCATGTCTTACTTTTTTCGATAACTTGTGATTCAAAGAAGCAAGAAGCCCTTGAAAATGACAAAAATAAACTATTTTCATCACCAATAAAGACGACTAGTGTGGAAATTCAATAAGCATTTGCAAGAAAAGCAAAACACAGAATCTCTTATCTAATAGACAAGTCCGTCCGTCCGTGGTGCTGTTTCAGCGGCCAAACCGTAAGAGATAGATAAAGAGAATGTTTTAGTTATAAGTTAAGAATAGTCTGATAAGACTACAAACCGGATTTGAGTAACGTAGCACTTCCGGTTTTCGAGAAATCACGTGATTTCTATTTCAAACGAAACCACACAAAATCTCCGAAGTTCTCAATTAATTGAATACATTTTTTTTTTGGTGAACATTTGGTTCACTGGTTTGCTAGTCGTTGTATAACTACTTATTATTCTATGAGTAGAATTTATTTTGAATATATCTAATTTTCAATTTATATCTAATCATTGTATCCATCGATCGATTACAGATACATGTTTAAAATATGTCTCCTCGAGATAAATCGAAGTATAGAGATCATCCAGATCATCAGTTTCCAGTGAAAACATGTGACGCACACGTGAGACACGTAAATAGGAGTGTTACTGGGCATATTAGGATAATGGGTAGGGCTGCCATCTCTAAAATGTGGCAACCAGGATAAGACGCGTGATAACCCTGGATTTTGATGCCCAGAACCCGGACAGACCAATAAAAAAACAGTTCAAAAAATGTCACAAATCAACTTTTTATGTTGATCTAGGCAAAAGAGCTAGCGGTCTACCTCATAATAAGTGGTCACTACTGCCCATGGACACTTGCAGCACCAAGGGCCACTCATGCGTTGCCGTAAATTTTTAAACCCGGACTACAAATAAAACCCCGCCCGGACGCTCCCCGTAAACTAGGACAAATCCGGGGAAACCCGGACGGATGGCAGCCCTAATAATGGGACCCCTACAGGGCCGGATTTAGGATTGTGGAGGCCCCGGGCCACTTAGGATTTGTATTCTTGTTAACCCATCGAAATGTTGTTATTTCTTAAGCTGTTGTGAAGGCCCCTGGGCCACAGCCCCACCTGCCCTGCCTTAAATTCGGCCCTGCGGGCAAGTACCACCCCACTCAGCCATTAAGCGATTGGGGTACTCCCTCAAGATGGGTAGTGAATCGGAAGTGCTTATCAGGGCCATTTGAGATTTTGATATTTCACCGATTGCCCGATTGGAGTGAACAAATATAGATCAATGATTTCTGTTATTTAAGATTAATATAATCAAATTATCATGTATGTTAGATGTACAAAGTACTGTAGGCTGTAGGTAAAGGTAAAAGAGCAAAAAAAAATATCAAAGGAAAAGATGTTTACTAGTGTTTACTAGTTGGAATTTGAAAGATTTTTTTTTCCCAAGTCTCTATTGTGGGGGCCCCCCGTTTGTGGAGGGCCCTCCCCTAAATCCGGCAGTGGACCCTTATGAGCCCCGTTTGGTGATTTAACAGGAACTAGGGACTTTGTATTTCATCTGAGGGGGCCCCCTGTCGATCGAGGGGCCCTGGGCACTTGCCCAAAGTGCCCACTGGTAAAGAGGGGTCTGGGAGTGTCCGCACTAGGGAATCTTTAAAACCTGCACTTTAAACGCGATAATGTTAACCGATTAATGGTACACTAGCAAACCTGTGAACCAAATGTTCACCAAAAAAAAAGTATTTAATTAATTGAGAACTTCGGAGATTTTGTGTGGTTTCGTTTGAAATAGAAATCACGTGATTTCTCGAAAACCGGTAGTGCTACGTTACTCACATCCGGTTTGTAGTCTTATCAGACTATTCTTAACTTATAACTTAAACATTCTCTATATCTATCTCTTACGGTTTGGCCGCTGAAACAGCACCACGGACGGACGGACTTGTCTAATAGATAAGAGATTCTTTCAGTGTAGTTTTTTCTGCTTCTGTACTATCGCGGAATTTTGCGCTCTGTCACTTGGCGAACAAAATGCTTTGAACGATTTCTACAGTAGTTTTTACTACGCCCCGCCTTCGCGTCGGACGCGCCAATCCGGGCCGCCGCACAAAAGTAAGACAGAGAGCATTTCATTGATTGAATAGGTAGATTATCAAAAAGTATTGGACACGTGTTTTTGCTTTTTTCACATAATATAAACATTGCAGAGATATATTGATTTGAAAAGTCGCATGACGTCACGTTTGAGTACACTTATAAGTGAAAATTCACTCAAAAGTGGCGTCACGAGCCCCTACTCCCAAACTTTGACGCGCTATAACTTTGTCATTTTTCGGTTGATTGCCCAAAGAAAAAATAAGTGTCCATTATTTTTTGATCATCTAACTGACGGACTAAATAGAATTTCGTTTACTGTACCCCGTCATCACCCCTATTGCATTTGTTTTAGTTGCAATTTGTGATCGCGACAGCGCTATACGAATAAGTAAGACAGCGATAATTACATGTCTATGAATGAATTTTTACTAAGCCGCTACCGCAAGCGATTATGGCATTATGGGCGACAGAGCGGGTCTTTCCGCGAGTGTACCTTTAGCACGAATTCGAATAGTTGAAGTTATAGCTAGCTAGAGGAATCAGTTTGTTCTTACGTCCAGTAGGGGGCGCTGGCTTACTTTTCATAGAAACATTGTCGATGCTATACGATTACGGTACCCTGAGCACGAACCAATATCGAATTCGAATAGTTCGCGAGTCCGAAATGTTATTGTCAGATGCGTACTGATTTTTAGTTCTCGTTGCGTCCTTTGTGGCGCTGCTGTTCAAGTTTCCATACAACATTTGTCATTGTCATTTCGCACTCGCAAACTCGGTCAAGCCGTTTCGAAGGAGTATGGTGACCAGCATTGTGACACGAGCATTTTATATATAAGATGACACAGCAATCAAAAGGTACGTGGACTTTGTATTGCAACATATCTTTTTTTGTAAATGTTGCTACTTCTGTTAAATGCTAATGAGTTTCTTGCACCCATTCTTCTCATCAGCTAAAAGATGTCCTGAATGGGTGGTAGAAAAATATATTGGACGATTAAAAATATATTGGACTATTAAAAATATATTGGACTATTAAAAATATATTGGACGATTAAAAATATGTTGGACGATTAAAAAGAGCTTTCAATAAGTCAATTAAATAAAGTATAATTTCGTTTAATTTTAGCATCTATCAATTAGCAATGGGTCATGGCCCGTATGTAGGCTATTTCGAGGGGGAAAATTAATTGGCTAATGATCATGAATTAAGACACAATGAAAAGCAACACGCGTGTAGGTAGCGTTTCTGGCTCGCTAGCAACTAGCTGAGTAAGGTACTTGGGGATAGGATTTCAGAATAGAATTCTAGAGGATTTGTGAAAGCTATTGTATAAGGATAATATGGAAGGAGATCGGTCAACGATATTAAATACCCTAGATACATCAATACGAACTAAATCGTGTCCGTAACCTGTCCAAAAGATACATCGGACGATCTACGGCGCTCCGCAAGATGATCGCGTTGTCAAAACCAATATAAGGCATTTTTTGAATATTGAAAGTCACCTTTAAAGCATACTGTATAAGGTCTTCATTAGTTATTGCTATATGAGGAAGAATATAGACCTTATTTCTTTGACTCTACGCGCAATTCGGAATGCGCTGTTAGCAATATAGCAGATACGGACCGCGAGGAAAAGAGACGGCTATATTACTGACCACGCATTTGAATATCACAAAAATTTGCTTCAAATGCGACACTTTACGTACTTTATGAATTTTTTTTCTAAATTTTTTCACGGAGTTCTACGGCATATTGACTGTTCAACGGTCCGCGCGTTACTGTGAACCAAGAAGTGCTCGAGTGGTGTTAAGCACTTCTTGATCGGACACATTTTGCGGGTACATGTTGTGTCAAGTGTATTTAATATCGTTGGGAGCGATAGATACAAGGGTAGGGTAGGGTAGGGTAGGGTAGGGTAGGGTAGAGTAGGGTAGAGTAGGGTAAGAATTAGACGAAAGTCTCGTCGGGTACGGGGCTGAGGCGCGGCCTGACGCGACGCACTCGCACGCGCTGCTTTAACACTGGGGAACCAACCAATATACATATCAGGGATGTAACGGAGGTAATTTATCGGAATTATTGATATATTTAAAAAAAAAAGTTGGTAATATTATTAATTTATCGGAACCGAAGTCGGAGCCGGAGTTTTTAAATTTGATTTATCGAAGTCGGAGCCGGAGTTTTTAAATATGATTTATCGAAGTCCGAATCGGAGTCGGAAGCGGAGTCGAAGGCAGAGTCGGGGTCAGAGGCATAGTCAGAAGTGGTCACAAGGGAGATATTTTTAATTTAAGAACAAATAAAAACATCATGCAGTCTCAACCTTTTCTCATTTTGATTATAAAATAACCATTTTTCATTTAAATTTACTAATAGGATATTTGACAGTATTAAAAAAAAGTGCCAATTGTTAGCATCTGTGTTTTTAATAAATATTGGCAGGGGTTTTTACTATTTTTACAAAAACAAATATTCATAATTTTACTAAAAACCCACGAAAAAGATAATGGTTTTCTTATGTGTTGTCACGTGACCCAAAACGCTTGGGTTTGGCGGAGCCTAAAATGACGTCACACGCAAGTAAACTTCCGGTTAAAGTGACATTACATTGTATCGTTTGACGTTTTAATCACAGTCGTGTGACGTGTCACACACTAGTAAGACGTCATATTGTCCAGAAAAACGTTTTCGCGGCAACTTAAAAAATGGAGTTTTTGATTTGATTATTTTTACTGGAATACACAACGAAATGATGAATATCCACTTTTTACGAACTCCATAAACATTAGTCAATAACGTGAGATCGTTTTCTAAAACTTGTCAAATACCCTATTATTAACACAGACTACCAACGCGACGGGTATGAATCAGTTCGTAACGGTCGACGCGGCCCACCGTCGCTATTTGCTTTGCTTCGACTTCTGATTAAAACCTCCGATTTAAAAGTATCCGACCCGCAATCGGAACCGAAGGTATAACCGGAAGTTCCAACTTATCGGAATCGGAGTCGAACGTCCGTATCATCCCTGATACATATACCTGATGAACACTGCGTTTGAAACTTAAGATGGGGAAGAGGGCAAGTTATTTTCCAAACAAACGTTTTCGACTGATTTCCCATTGATTTTTGGCACTAAAGAAATGATTTTGCATACATAAGATATGTATGACTTCTTTTTTCGATAACTTGAGTTTTCAAAGAATGTACAAGTCCTAATGAATGACAAAAATAAACAAATTACAAAAAACGGGAACACAGAGGTCTAGTATAATTAGCTTATCTGTACCCTTAGTACGAGTTTACAATTACGAAAACTATGATAGTTTTCGTGAGCTCGCACTCGTACTAAGGGTACTGATTTTATTGTTTTCGTTTCAATACAAATAAACAGTGTTTAACAATTATCATTAAATCATTTGCGTCTTCTCAAAATTTTAAGTATATTTAGTTAGTTTTTACCAAAATGGACATAGAAACATAATTTACAATTACGAAAACTATGATAGTTTTCGTGAGCTCAAACTCGTACTAAGGGTAAGTACTGTAACATAAGGCTACAGTGCTTACTTTGGGGCTAGGCTAATTGGTGGGAGTGTTGGAAATATTTATTTATTTTAGTGATGTAACGAATATTCGCGTTCGCATTCGCGAATATTCGCATATTTTTGAATATTCGCATTCACATTCGCATTCGCAAAATCTCTGCGAATGTCTCTTGCGAATATGAAAATTAGAAAAAAACAATTTGAAGAAGTTGTAGTTCTGCCTTTCCTTGAATATTCATTGTTACACAGTTTGCATTTAGCTCGTTCAGCATCGCAAAGTGTGAAATAAGTCCATGTTTCACTAGAATTCGATTTACTCATGTTAATAAATCACTATTCAAACGCTAACCTCAAATTTCACTTGTTTTGTTTAAGGAAAGACCGGCGCGAGCGGAATAACAATTCAGTCGGATGAGTTCATATCAACTCGGCAATTCGAACGAGACTGCCACCATGCCATAGACGATTAAATATTCGCGAATGTCGGTACCAGACATTCGCATCCGCATTCGCATTCACGAATGTTCAAAAAATGACATTCGTTACATCACTAATTTATTTATGATTTTGTTGGTTGTTGTGTGTTTAAACTAAAGATGTAGAGAATAAACTGTTTGTTTCGAGTTAGACAGAGAACGTTCACCCTATTATCTACGTCTCGGTTCTAATGTAGACAGGTTAGAATTCTGTCTACAATTTGAATTTCTGTACACCTTTTTTTTCGACAGATGGAAGTTATAGTTACTGAAATATTTAGTGATCTACTTCTGCTTCATGAAATAAATAAATATTTCCATCATTCACACCAATTAGCTGAGCCCCAAAGTAAGCACTGGAAGGCTTGTGTTACGGAATACAAGGGTAATGGATAGAATACATATACTGTACATATATAAGAGAGTACATACTGTACATGGTAAAAGGAGCTCGATGGCGCAAGTGGTTAGCGCATTCGGCTGCGATCGTTGAAGTTAAGCAACTTTCGGAGTGGTCGGTCACAGGATAAGTGATCAAAAATTTACTATCTCGAGCTCCTCCGTGCTTCGGAAGGCACGTTAAGGCGTTGGTCCCGGCTGCATCTGCAGTCGTTAGCACCCACCAATCCGCACTGGGCCCGCGTGGTGGGTCATGGCACAATCTCCCTATTCCATCCATAGGGAAGGCCTGTGTAGATTCAGTACTCGAAATTAAATTTATAATTAATTATGATTTTATTTCTTTTTAAGCATTTAACTGCTAGATGTTTAAATCTAAAGAAAAGTTTACTAGAAAAAAATTGTGGGTTATCTACAATGCGAAGAGATAGCGCTGCCTTGCAGCTTAACGCTAGGAAAATTTCGACGCGGCTAATAGGGCCGTGGTAGCATAACGGTCAGTGCATTAGCCCGGATTGCGAGGGATGCGGGTTCGAGTCCCGTCCGCTGCCTGGTCCGCGTGGATGTTTTTCTAGTAAACTTTTCTTTAGATTTATAATTAATTATTTTAATTGCGTTTGTTCGTGTTAAAGTTACAAACATACCTATATGTGTGTTAGCGAGGAGGGTAGGGTTGTGCGCCTGCGCAGGGGTAGGGGTAGAGGCAGACGCAGGGGTAGTATCGTCGTCGCAGAGGGATGTCTCGGAGGGGTATTCGAACGTGCGGGTGAGGGAGTCGTCGAACTGGAGCTTCAACTGAAACACATACAAAACATACTAAATCAAATAATCATACTTATAATTTTTATTTTTAAGCATATAAGAAAATACAAGATTACGGAAATATTACTAGAAAAACTTTGTGGGTTACCTATAATTACGGTTTATTATCCGTCCGGACATGTCCGGACTTTTTGCCTGTTGTCCGGTTTTTGCTCTGCTTTTTTCATTACGTATAATATGAGTAAAACTACTTATTAAGTGATATCAAATAATTATAATTTTAAAGCATGTAACTGCTTGATGTTTATATCTCAAGAAAATATAACTAGAAAAATTCCATACGGACCAGGCAGCAGACGGGACTCGAACCCGCACCCTTCGCAATCCGGGCGAATGCACTGACCAATTATGCTACCGCGGCTTTCACGGACCGCGTCAAAATTCCTCTAGCCATTCTTAAGCTGCAAAGCAGCGCCATCTCTTCGCATTGTAGGTAACCCACAATGTCAAATGAATACTTTTACAAGTATTAAACATTTGAAAGAAGAAATATAATGCGAAGAGATGGCGCTGCCTTGCAGCTTAAGAAAGGATAGAAAAAATACGACAAGGCCATCAGGGCCACGGTAGCATAATGGCCAGTGCGTTCGCTCGGATAGCGAAGGGTGCGGGTTCGAGTCCCGTCTGCTGCCTGGTAGCATGGATTTTTTTTCTAGAAAAAAATTCATTAAGTAAGCCGTCGAAGTCTGAGACAACCGCTCGAAGCTGCCATTAATAACTATTCGAACGGTCCTTGTATGTACGCAGTAGACTGTAGTTCACTATGCGATGAACATGAAGCAGTCTACCCTGGCTACTTCGAGCTGCCCGTGTGTGGTGGCTCAAAGGTGAATATTCTTTTCCCTACCACTGATTCAGGGCGTTCTTTTTTAAATTGATTAAAACCCGGCTTTTACAGCGATAAGACTGCAAAAAATCACGCCGTTGAAATTGTGATATTTGCAGGACATACTTTGGTATTTTAACATCACTTATGCTCCCGACTATAACTATATTTAGCTTTGCTAGGTATTAATTATTATAACAAGAAGCACCGCTGTCAATGAAGTACAATTGAAGAACATTAGGACGCTCAGGCCGCTTTTGTTGGATTTCTTTTGCATTTCTAGCTTTCATCTAAGGAGAAGTGGGTGTGGCTGAAAACCAGCACTGCCCGAGACATTCTGTAACGAAACAGTTTATGCTCATCCATTTGCTCTTCACGCTGTCATATCGAATAGGGTATTTGACAAGTTTTAGAAAACGATCTCACGTTATTGACTAATGTTTACGGAGTCCGTAAAAAGTAGATATTCATCATTCTGTTGTGTATTTCAGTAAAAATAACCAAATCAAAAACTCCATTTTCAAGTTGCCGCGACAACGTTTCTCTGGACAGTATGGCGTCTTACTAGCGTGTGACGTCATACGACTGTTATTAAAACGTCATACGATACATTTTATGTCACTTCAACCGGAAGTTTACTTGCGTGTGACGTCATTTTAGGCTCCGCCAATCCCAAGCGTTTTGGGTCACGTGACAATAGATAAGGAAACTGTTATCTTTTTCGTTAGATTTAAGTAAAATTATGATTTTTTATGTAAAAATAGTAATAATCCCTGGCAATATTCATTCTAAACACATCTGCTAACAATTGGCACTTTATTTTTAACACTGTCAAATACCCTATTGTACTATGTATTGAACTATGTATTACTATTGTGAGAGCAATAAAAATCATCAGCATCATCAGCCTATTAATGTCCCCACTGCTGGGGCACAGGCCTTCCCTACGGATGGAATAAGTAGATTGCGGATTGGCGGGTGCTAACAACTGCAGATGCAGTCGGGACCAACGGCTTAACGTGCCTTCCGAAGCACGGAGGAGTTGGAGATAGTGAATTTTCGGTCACCCATCCAATGACCGACCACTGCGAAAGTTGCTTAACTTCAGCGATCGCAGCCGAACGCACTAAACACTTGCGCCATCTAGCTCCTCCAATAAAAATATTTGTATTCTATTCTCAGCACTGAGTTACTACTAAAAAAATGGGTGCGTGTACTTATGTAGGCGCGTGAGAAGTTATCCTTCTTTGGCATCGTTTAAAATTAGTTTTTAATTGCATGCAAATAATTAATTACAATAAATTAATAAAAAGTCTGGAAAAGGACACAGTCAATAAAGTTCAGTTTTAATTTGAAAAAATAAATAAATAATCAAAATATTCAATTAAAATCGCTACTGAATATAATTTATTAGAACATATGTGATTTGTCGCTAAAGCGACCAACTTCATGCTGTTAATTTTTGTGTTACAGTGATGCGCGCACATCTTAAAATTTCACTCTCATCATTTTTTCATAACGCGCCTAAAGAAGTATAACTTCAACGAGGAAGAAAGGAGATTACCTTGGCCTGCCGGTCGCGGTTGATCCTGGCCGCGGCGGCCATACAGGAGCGTCCGTTGATGAGCACATTGTCGTTGACGAACCGCACCGCGCAAGGGGACGGTGGCCCGCCACCACACAACCCGCCCGGTCCCTCCTCGTCCGACGACCACGCCTCCGCGTTCGCCTCCGCTTCGCTGCCCGGCCGGAGTGATACAACGCCCGGCTCGCCGGCCTGCAAATAATAAAAATAATAATCTTTATTTCCGAACCATTACTAATACTAATACAGTTATTAGCACTCAATCAATTCATTAGCAATCAAAATCAAGGAGGCATCAGTCAAGAGCGTTTGTATGTGAAAAACATTGCGCGCCTCTCCTCATAGTTAACAAGTTGAGACTTTTTTTAAGCAACTTCCCAAAACAAGCCGGTCCCTGATTCAACGCTTTGTAATTTTTATTTCAGCAAGAAATAGACTGTGACAAAGCATATTTATAAACGGGTGGCGAATCCGTACGTTTGTGAATAAGAGGACAGGAATCCTGTCAACCGCTATCAGAGGCCGCATTAACATCAGGCAAGTTCTGCTAGAGCGAGACATCACATTAGAGATGGGCGTTTTTAGATATTTTTGAAATCGGTGCGCATCGGTATCAGATAATTGGCATCGTATGCCCGCATCGATGCCGGCATCGCATCGATGTCAACTGAATGTCGATATTGTGATAGAAGATATCGACATTCAGTTGACATCGATGCGATGCCGGCATCAATGCGGGGATACGATGCAATATGAATTTCTACAGATGCGTGTTTTGTGTGGGTGTGTCTCATCGATTCTTTAAATCAGGACTTGAATATGTAACCGAAAACCATTTATTTACTTTTCGGTATGTTATCTGAAAAGATTGAATGGTGGCAAAATTATTACATAAAAATTTTCACTCAGAGCGTAGGTTTTGAACGCAGGCAGGATGCCAGGTTTGGATGCGCGCATACGATACGACTGGATGCCGTTATTGGATGCCGATGCCGTCTAGTTTTTGTCATCGTTACTATAGCAACAGTGCCACAAACTTTTCTGTGCCGGTGGCAAAAATTAAAACTACAATTTATCTATAGCATTTTGACATTTATGACATATTTGTTCACCGCTAGCGACATCTCCACCGGCACAGATAAGTTTGTGGTACTGTTGCTATGGTAACGTTGACAAAAACTAGATGGCATCGGCATCCAATAACGGCATCCAGTCGCATCGGATGCGCGCATCCGAACCTGGCATCGTTATTGCGCATCGTTATTCTAAAAACGCCCATCCCTACATCACATACGAACAGTGGAGCAGCATTCCGCTTCAACGCCAGTTTTTGTCTGGCGTTTAGAGTTTATTAATACGGTCCCTGAAGCAAGCAGTTGTGCGGATAAAACGTTGTAGAATTCTATCCTGTTTTAACATTAGATTTCTCACGCTATGCTTCAGACGCGCAAGCACGAATTATGACATCTCCATAATCTAAAGAAAAGTTTTACTAGAAAAAAAACCACGCGGACCAGGCCAGGGACGGGACTCGAACCCGCACCCTTCGTAATCCGGGCGAATGCACTGACCAATTATGCTACCACGGCTCTAATGGCCGCGTCGAATTTTTTCCTAGCCTTAAGCTGCAAGGCAGCGCCTTTTTTTTCTAGTAAAACTTTTCTTTACACTTAAACATGTAACAGATAAAATGTAAAAAAAAAACATAACTATAATTGCTATTTCTTCTTTCAAATGTTTAATACTTGAAAAAGTATTCATTTCACATTGTAGGTTACCTATAATGCGAAGAGATGGCGCTGCCTTGCAGCTTAAGGCTAGGAAAATTTCGACGCGGCGAATAGGGCCGTGGTAGCATAATGATCAGTGCACACGCCCGGATTGCGAAGAGTGCGGGTTCGAGTTCCGTCCGCTGCCTGGTCCGCGTGGATTTTTTTTCTAGTAAACTTTTCTTTAGATCTCCATAATCGTTTCGTCGTCGTCAAATTTTGTATGGAAGGAGTCAGTTTGTACTTACGACCGCTAGCTTGTTTAGCTTTAACAGAATCTTGCGCGAACGATGCAATAAGATTACGGAACTGTCAAAATTCGTGCTTTGGCCCTATTGTTTTAGTCAAAATCAACATCAAAAATCATTTATTCAGTCTAGGCTGTTACAAGCACTTGTGAAGGTCAAAAAGTTACGCCATCGGTTCGCAAAACTACGGCGGGAGACCTTCTACTGAGAAGAACCGGCAAGAAACTCAGCAAGGGCTGTTTTTCCCCCCCTGTATTGTTATATACAGAGTCGACAAGGTGAAAAATGACTTCAGAATTACTCTGTCACAACAATATTTCCGTGAGGACAGTGAAAATAGAAAGTGCCTCGGGTGATTTTCGCTCCCAGTAATGTAAATTATTTCAATGCTCTCAAGAATCTTGCCATGTCAGCATCACTGCTTACGAGTGCTCGCGTCATGCGGACGGTGCTAAGTAAACAAATGTATAATTAAGTTAGGTAAGCTATTGTGTAACATCATTACTTCATCGGTACTAAGTTATGATAATTAATTTATTCTATTTACAGTGCGGATGTGATGAATTGTCTGCTTTTACGATACATGTCATCATCATCATCATCATCAACAGCCTATCTTAGTCCACTGCTGGACATAGGCCTCTCCAATTGCACGCCACTCAGATCGATCTTGGGCTACTCGCATCCAGCTCCTGCCAGCCACCTTGCACAAATCGTCACTCCATCGTGCCTGAGGACTTCCTACACTAGGTTTGCCTAGACGCGGTCTCCACTCCAGAACTCGTCTACCCCAACGGTTATCGGTTCTTCGGCAAATATGGCCAGCCCACTGCCACTTCAACTTGCTAATCCGGTGGGCTATGTCGATAACTCTGGTTCTCTGTCAGATTACCTCATTTCTGAAGCGATCCTTCAGAGAAACGCCGAGCATAGCCCTTTCCATATTTCGCTGAGCGACTTGTGGACCAGCCGTACCGTCAGTGTCCACGTTTCGGCTCCGTATGTCATTACAGGTAGGACGCACTGATTGAAGACTTTCGTCTTTAGGGATTTGGGATCGATACATTAAAAGGTATTTTTTTTAAAGAAATAAGTGAAGTTAGAAAAACTTTAATATTCATACAAGGATAACGGTTTAAATAAACATATATATTCAATAGAATAATTGTATCATTTTGTCATTACTATCCTTATTTAAGTAGGTTGCAACTCGTGACAAATTATTCACTGTTATTGTTTTGTATTACATCTAAGAAAATTCTTTTAATGAAGTAGTAAATTATTTTGTTCCATCGATAGCAATATTTTTTAGAATATTGCATATGGATCGTCTTAAAGTCTTTAAAAGTAAACAATGTTATCTAAAAATTTTGATGCATCGATTTTGGCAAACCTTCTATATTTTAAATCCTAATATATTGCTAACAGATTATATGAAACGTCTCTAAAATTATCGATACTATGATTAAGGTGAGATATCAAATCTAAAGACGATTATTTTCCAGTGGATATGTTTTATGTATTACTACAATAATAAATTAAACAATATCATATCAAATAATCCATAATGACAGCATTAAGTATTTTAATCACAGAACCGTCTTATTTTCTACTGACGAAGGAAATTTTACTTAAATCTCTATAAAAATAACGTTACATCCGTCTGACGATAGAAAGTTATTTAAACTCCAAGTAATCAAAGGATTACACATGATATATATAACATATATATGAAGAGCTTCACGCGACCAACACGTGTGATAATTACATAAAAATAACAGCTATACGCCGAGGAGCTCGATGGCGCAGGTGGTTAGCTCGTTCGGCTACGATCGTTGTAGTCAAGCAACTTTCACAGTGGTCGGTCATTGGATGGGTGACCAAAAATTTCTATCTCGAGTTCCTCCGTGCTTCGGAAGGCACGTTAAACCGTTGGTCCCGGTTGCATCTGCAATCGTTAGCAACTGCCAATCTGCACCGGGCCAGCGTGGTGGGTCATAGCCCAATCTCCCTATTCCATCCATAGGGAAGGCCTGTGCCCCAGCAGTGGGGACATAAAGACGCTGATGATGATGATGATGATGAACAGCTATACTTTAATAACGATACTTAAACTTGTAGTTTGTTAGACACTTTAAATTATCCGGCATAGAAATTACTATTGATATGTTAAGAGAAAATGATTTTTTTGTGTATGCTGTTGGTCGCAGATGACCTTTACAGCGTCACCCGGTTTGAGGACGTCGAGATCCTAAGCGGACTTCAAGCCGAGAATTGGCGAGTGCCTCTAGAGGTATTCCAGGCGGAAGGCATCTCCCCACGGAGGGAGTCTCCTCTCCGTCTGGAGCCTCTAGACCACTCGAGGGAGTATCTGAGACTCGGACCTCGGCTCTAGTTAGCCATTGTCGTGGGAGGCGGGGAAAACGCCCAGGTACGTACCTCTACCAGGTATAGCGTGTCGCGTGTAGACCGGGTCTTCGCACTCTTATCCTACGGGTGCGGTGTCTGCCTAATGCTAAGCTAGTGTGCAAGTATGCTAGCTGTGTAGTGTTGGTGTTGGTGGCCTGTGTGGGAGGAATCGGAGGCGCGTTGGCGCGGGTGATTTCGTCGTAGGGTACTCTAATACCGGCCATACACACTACGAGAAATCGTTACGATCAGACTGTACAGTTCGAACGGAACAGTTTATACGATTTCGTTTAGTATAGGAAACTGTGCAGTTTTATAATACCGGCCATACACACTACGAGAAATCGTTACGATTAGACTGTACAGTCCGAACGGTACCGATAAATCGTAGCGTGTATGTTATAAAACTGTTCCGTTCGAACTGTACAGTCTGATCGTAACGATTTGTCGTAGTGTGTATGGCCGGTATAAGACGTGCCTAGGAAGACGGAACCGGAGGAAGAGAGAAAATGATTATCAATGTGAGATATCATATAATATTTCTATGACAGTTCAGGCAGCCTCATTGTTTTATCACATCAGCTAATACGAATGCACACAGAACGTGCTTCGTGCGGCAGCATCGGCAGCGCGGACGACGTAAACAATCGTGTGTTGCGCGCGCGCACGTGCCCTAGCCTGACTGGCGGCGCCCGATTACCGATCAATACTATGTAGTTTTAATACTCGACCTTCAACGATAGAGACGTACGTCGCGCAATTGATT